TGCCGGTCCCAGAATGGAAGCTACGGCGCGGGAGACGAGGTCGGGTCGGCCTGTTAGAAGGGCGTTGAGGTAGGGATTGTTGAGGACGTCGTGGGTGTAAACCAGGCGCTGAAGGCTGGGGAAGCTACTCTCTGTGAGGGTGAGTGGATTGTCGGGGTCTTTGACGCAGAAATGCTTCGTTGCTATGCCCGAACCAACAACAATTTCTTGGCATACTCCGCAAGTTCCCCAACGCACTGCCTGGAGCAAGATGCGCTGTGTGATATTGCGCGGGTCTTGGACAGCCTTGATGAAGGCGGATAGCTGGGCAGGACGACGGGAACGCTCGTGGACAGTTTCCGGCGCAAGTCCATGAGCCTCTGCTTCGGCGTCGAGCAATACACGCCGCTCTACCGCCTGAGCCGTGTTCCATACTCCAATATTCTTGCGGCTATCTAACGCGGCTTGGTTTGTGGCTGGTGTACGTCCCCAAGACCGCCCCCACTGTCCCAGGTCCTTTCCGTCGGCCAACGCCATGAAACGCTGGGCAAATTCCGGGCTAGTGAGTGTCGTGCCAAAGGGTGCGAAACCAAGAGGATCCACTGGAAGCCCAAGCCTCTCCGCGCGCTTCGCCTCTTCTACCAGCCGCTCAAGCTGCGCCTGCCGGGCTACTTTACCGGTGGCTGCCACTTCAATGTAGCCTCGGAATCTGGATCTTCTCTGCACGCCATTCTTCTCTGCGTCGGAGGTGTCATCTTCGTCTGACGTGGCGTCTGAGGCGGTGTCTTCGTCCGAGTAGTCGCCCTCACCGGGACATGAGGCAGAAAGATGGTCATCGTCGTCGACGGCGCTGGATCTTTTATTGCGATGGGGGAGGCTGCGGAGTAAGCGGAGGCTATGCTGTAAAATCCGGTAGGCCGTCTTGAGCTCGGTTAATACTCGGTAGACACCATGGCGCTCTGCGTGGTCATAGATCTCAAGCCGCAGACGCCCAAGTCGGGATTCGAGGCCAGCGACGTCCGACCTGTCCAACGGGCCATTGTCGAGAAGATCCCGCTCGATCATGGCCATCGCAGGCTCAACGACGCCGCCGGAAATAACAAGAAAAATTTCCCGGCATAGATTAGCACTGCGTGGATCATGTTTCGCACCACCCAACTGTAGGTTGCTGATAAAGATGCAGAGAGAATCGGGAAGATGTGAATAATAGGCCAGACAAGGAAGACCGAGGTCGTTGATGTACTCTTCTCCCTGTGTTCGTCTTCCTGCAGAGTACCAGTTGTCCGGGATGATTTTGGAGGTGTTATGGCTCTGGCCGTCGAAAAAAGCTGTTAACCTTGGCCATATCGGCTGAGCGAAGGAGCAACTGAGGCTCCCCATGACGCACGCAGCAATTCATTGTGCTAGACCATGAGGTGATAAGGAAAGGGGCGAGGTAGGAGAGGAGGCGCATGAAGAAGGCCAGATGAGAAGCCCTATCCACGGGCTCTTGCATACGATAGAGATTCAGAAAAGGACCTCTGATTTGGCGTAACTGCTGCGGTGTAATCAGACTGTCATCAGCAGCGTGCAGCGTCCGAACGATGTGCATGAATTCTTTGAGAGCAGGACCGGCGGTCTCTTCTTCGATCCCTCCAATTCGTCCCTTGCGTTCCTCTTCGGTGATATCTTCAGCAATGGCGACCATGACTGTAGAGCCCTGCACAGTCCAGGCAGCGTCCACCAGATTCCGCGTGATGGATAAGAGAGTTGCGGGAACGCAAACCTTTTCCTTGCCGACCTCCCTTCTCCAAAATTTATATTCTCCTTCAAGCAATTTTGTCAGGCGTTCGCTGAGCGCGTTGGACAAACCCTCTGGCGTCGTGGACTGGAAAGGTAACCGTGCGCCGGAGACAGCGTTCCAGATTTCAGTTCGTGGCTTGAAGTTCGGGATCCAGTTTCCGCCGGGCGTGGTGTTCAAGACAAGTCCTCTACCAGCGTTCACGGTTATCGCCTCCCGCCTCCCGATAGCCGGGGTCGTTCGAAAATCAAGATGGCCTCCAGGGGCTGGCATGTCCGCAGCGACAAGGTGGAAGGCCTTCCAGGTCAGGTTCCTCGACATACTGTGGAAGCGACTATGCCCCTTGGACGCTAGTTCTTGTCGTAGGCGAAGCAGAGGCGTATTTTCGATAGTAATCCCCAGCGTTTGTCAAGGTGAGTGTTCGGTGCAGTGGCTGGAACGGAATGGTGGAGAGACGTTGAATGGGCTCTTCAAGAGCACTGCAAATTCCCTGGAGTCCATAGTGGGTGAGCGCGGACTGGACTGCGTCAAAAACGTCTTCATGCGGGATACCATGCGCCAAGAGGACGAGGGCGAGCCAAGGGATTTCGACAGGCCGAGAATACATTTTCCCAGAGATGAAGCTGAGTACGTGGTCGGTGGGAACGCTGGCGAGGCGGATGTAGCTCCGGGCAGTGTTATCAGCTTCAATCTGCCCAACGTCTTCCACCAAGACACCTCGCGCAACCCATTCATCGACGTCCAAATGCAGCGGGTCCTCGGCATAAGCAGATAAGAATGCGTGGAGATCTTGATCGAGAATGGGAATGGGGGACGGTGCCAGCTGCTCTTGTTCTCAGCGGACCGTGTCGACAGCCGCAAGGACGGAGGTGCCGTTCGTGCGGGCGGTAGTGATGACCGAGGTGACCTCTTGCTGCTGCTGGAGAAGAGAGCCCAGCTCTTTGACGAGGTATTCACCCATCGTACTCTGGTCTTTGGTGGAGATTACGAGACCGGTCCTTCTCCTTCTGTTGTCGCCGCGCTCGCCGTTTCTCATTCACTTGGTCCATTTTTTTCACGGCGCTGCGCCTGCGTATGACGCTTACAAAGTATTAGTATAGGTTGATAATAGGTTAAATGAATGAACTCACATCGGGGCCCATCTTCTTCTTTCCACGCTTGCCCACAACGCCGTCGGTCTCATCATCCGCGTCTGCCTCTTGCTCATCCACCGTCTGAAACCAAATCAGGAGAAAGATGACCAGCGACACCATATGCACGTACCACGTCCGTCATCTCCTGCGTCTAAATAAAGTTAGAAGAGAGTGGCTTAAACTGAATATATGCGCACCGTCTTGGCTCGCTTTTTCTCTCGTCCAGTTTCCTAGTAAGAGCTGGTCAGATATTATCAAGAACGTCGAAAGAGCGCATACATTTGGCTGAATCACATGTGAAACATTGCGCTTTTTGCTGGAGCTTGAACGTGCGGGCTGAGGGAACAAGAAGCAGGTGAGATGGGAAGGATCGGGTGGTGAATATGTGTTGTACCGCGGCCTGCCTACCGCCATTCTGACAATAAAAACATTAATAAAAAAACCATGAAAGACGCGTCAAAGACGCACCTCGTTGTTCTTCCGCCTTGCGGTTCTCTTTTTGGACTCGGATGGACGGGCCTAAGCATATGTGTGTCAGTTTTCTTCAAGGGAAGGCTGGAGGGGCGAGGCAGACATCAGGAATTGCTAAGGGTCTGAAGTTCTATTGAAGAAGTCGTGAAGAGTAAGCGTTGTACAAGGAAGGGTGAATGGAAACACACACCGAAGTAAAAGAAACTGGCACAACAGATTGCCCAGGGACGTAGTGACGCCTTGAGGGCACTGCAGGTGTGGGCGCAACCGTTGACTTCAAGACGAATAGTTGTAAGCACAGGGAAAGAGGATTGGAGGAAAACGCGTGCAGCAAATAAGGGCGGCGGGGCTGGCGTAGATGAAGACGACGCGCGTGTCGAGGACGGGGCAGACATGGTTGTCGCGTGCGACGTAGGTGCGTATGGGCCTTGGGCTTGAGAGACCTGGGCAGAGACAGCGTTCACCTTAAGAAGAATAATCAGCTTTAGAAGTCCGTAGAGAAACAGAAACGCACGGCGGCCCAAAAGTCTAGAGGCATTGCTAAAGTTTCAGCTATGAGAAAGAGGAGGAAAGAAGGACAAGTCGAGTCGACAGAGACGCGTCAATCACACAGAGTTTGTCCCGCACATATTCATAATTAATTGATCAAAATATTTAATGCCAAGTCGGTGTCCGGTCCGCATCACCCAATCCAGTCTGTCATTTGCCCAAGAACACCTTTGAACATCCAGCAGAGGCGAGATACGACTGGCCGGCTTGCAGGCTCGAACGCGTGGCTGAAAAATCCAAGTCGATTAATCCAGTAGTGGAACCCCAGCAGAGAGTCTTCCAGCAACCAAAATCCTCCCGCGACACGGGTAATGCTATCCAATCCACTCGTCGAGCTTGTAGAATCGTCGAGGTCAATGTTGAAGTTGCGACTCGAAGTTGATGGTAACCGAGAAGCTTGACCTGGTCTGGGAGGCGGACGGTGTGAGTGACGAGAGGTGAGCAGGCTGGTCCTGTCCCTCCGTATAGGCAAAGAGTTGTCGTCGTTCATGGTTCAAAGAAGGAGCAGTCAGCGGCACAGCCACATGCTGGCTGGCTTACCGGCATGTAGCGATAAATTTTATTTCCAAGATGTTTCGAAATAATCCATAAGACATTCAAATGGTTGTTCGTTCTTGCATTCTTTCATTTCCTAACACTCTACGCCTTCTCAAAAACATACAAATATGCCAACTTCTTCAAATCCTTCATGCTCTCCTCGTCGTTAAACAACACTCACGCGTCGCCCGCCCGGATGTGGGCCACATAATGTCCGGAGTGCACTGAGGGGCCCTTGTGCAAGATGAACGCCTTGAGCTTGTACTTCGCCGGCACGTCCTTCGTCCCAGCAAACCGCGGCGGGTGCAGCAGCGGCGGCAGAAGGAGCAGGGCGTCTGGGTGGTTGAAGAGCCATTCGACGGCGCGCTCGGCGTTTCCAAGCTTCAAACTTGAGCCAAAGGCGCTGGAGACCGACTGTTAGACGTCCAGTCACGCAGTCACACCCCGGCGGCCAGGGTGTGACCCGATGCTTCCTTCTTGGCACTCTCCTCAAAAAGGTCAAATTTCACCCCGGCACCACCCTTGGTTTGCTGGGGTGGAATACATGAAATGTTCCCGTGGTCTAGTGGTTATGACGTTTGTCTTACACTTTCAGAGGAACACAAACGGTCGCCGGTTCGAATCCCGGCCGGGATCATTTTTGTTCGTAAAAAGTGGTCTAGTGGTTATGACGTTTGTCTTACAATTTATCAGGAGCACAAACGGTCGCCGGTTCGATCCCGGCCGAGTTCACTTTTTTGTGGTTGTGGCATCTGTCTTGCACTTTCGAGCATGAAAAAAGGTCGCCCAAGAGGCACGCGGAACTAAAGTTTCTGACATCAACCTCTCAAAGTTTTGACATGCTGTGCAGACGAGGAGGAGGAGGGTCCGGATCAGCGGTCCGGGGCCCTCGGTCATTTCGGGTGACTTGGATATTTCCTACCGCACTCGTTCCTTTGGCTGTTGAGCCCAGAAATTGGTGGCCAACATCTGAGGCATACAGTAGCCCCCCTCACAAGTTTCTAGAGTGAGCTGAGGTGAACTGAATTTAATTCGAGTTCGCGCGGTTTCTTTCTGTTTCACGTTACGAAATTGAGATGACATCATGACTGATAGCATCCCCCGCCAATAAATTATGGATTTGGGAGCTTCAATGGTCCAAAAATATTATTCTGAGCTGCCAGAGCCACTCATAATGAATGAAAATGGGAGGGTAGGCCAAATTTTGGAGCCACTCGGAGAGAACTGGGGGTGAAGAATTGAAGTTTTCTGTTTATCAAGCCAAAAGCGATTGATCGCTGTGGCTATGCTGATGGAGAGGAGTCGGAGGGGAGGTCTGTGTCACGGCGGCAATTCCCGCGTGCCTCTCGAGGTCGCCTGGCTTACTTTTTATCAAAAGTGGTCTAGTGGTAATGATGTTTGTCTTAAGATGGGCCTCAATCCATAATCGACCAATGTGACCATCACACGCCGTTTGAAAAACCTTCTTAACCAGATCTCAACGAGCAGAACGAAATCGCAAAATTTGCTTCGAGGATCTCTTCATAGTCATCCTAGGTACGTTCATAAATATTTTTGGGTCTTTTGAGCCAGAACCAAGAGCTGTGAAGCTTTTTTGCTGGGGCGATCAAAATTTTCAAGTCTTGCCATCAATACCACTAAAAAAGCTTCACGGCTCTCCGCTCGAAGTCAAAATTCTTAGGAATATTTCTAGGTACAGTAAATCACGTTCCAAAGTGATCCTCGAAGCAAATTTCCCATTCTCACTTTTCTTGCCAAGAAAACTAATTTTCATCCAAATGTCACACATTGGTCGATCATGGATGAGGCCTATCTTACAATTTCTCATGATCACAGATGGTCGCCGGTTCGATCCCGGCCGAATTCATTTTTGGTTGTCAGAACGTTCGAACAGAGTGGCTCGATAAAAAGTGGTCTAGTGGTAATGACGTTTGTCTTACAGTTTCCAAAAGGTCGCCGATTAGATCCCGGCCGGGCTCGCTTTTTCGTTGTCAGAACGTTAATGAAGCATCAAAACATTGTCTTCGAGTTCAATGAACTCTGTACAGCTAAATCAAAAACGATAGACGTTTTCGTTTGAAACAAAAACTTCAGGCCGAGCACGGCCCTCCGCTACCAAGGCACAAGGGGCCCCACCCATCACGAGAAGAAAATTGGAGTCGAAACTTTGGAATTCTAGGCTCGGCCGAAGTTTTGTTTTAAATCGAAAGGCGTCTATCGTTTTTGACTTAGCTGTAATGAAAGTGGACGAAGCAACAGCGAAAATGCCACATCATACCATGTCTTACCTGTCTGTTTCTTTTTTTTCCAGCCCAAGTAATACGCGAGGAATTCGATCGCGAGGCCCGAGGTCGACGGAGAATGCATTTTCGGATTCACACGCACCCGATCGGGCCAGGCAGAGACTCTGCACGTGACTCCTTTCGTGTCGCGGTAGCCGACGTGTTCCTTGCTCCTGACGCGATGGCCGCAGGCGTTTCTCTTCTTGCTTTCGCCACAATCGCCTCAATACTCGTGCCATGGTTCTACTTGGGTATTCACAAGGCCGCCGGACAACCCTTGACCTCCACTCGGTCTTTGCTCAACATATTCCTCCTCCTGCACACGCTGTACTTTCTCTACCAGCTCATCGTCTTGCCCCCCGCAAACATCTTTACGCGTCTAAATGTCCCAGTAAACACGCCGGTCGATTCGCTGCGGAGCTTGTTGATTCAGCGGTCAGACACGGGCGAACTTCCTAAACCACTAGAAACACTCTTGAGACATCTTGGCTCATTTGACGTCAAACCTACTACGTTCGGTGCGTTCAACTGGCGCGCTCTGCTGCCTCACAAAATCCTGATTGGCTACTCAGATTTGGCCACTCGGTGGTCTCGTCCTGCGATTACTGCTTGTCCTTTGACGAATTCGGCTTGTTTGCGCTTCCGGGAGCCTTAATCTCGTACCTCTGCGCTGCTGCAGTTATCGGAGTATGCTTTACCTTTCTTTTGTTGCGCTACGCTGTATATCAATTTTTGTTTCGCAGCATAGTCACCATAACCACATCTGGACGCGAGCGTTATCGCACCCTCGCGGTCTCCGCCGTAGCAGGCGCATTCGTCCTCGAAGCCTACTACATCATAACTGTCCCCATCGAAATCCCCAAAAACGACACCTCCGTCTTTATGGCACGCCACACCACCAATGTTTATCGCCCTGTAAACTAATTGCTCATGATTATTAGTGGCATGACAGGCTCTACACCTCCCGGCACGTCTTATTCCTCATACTCCCGCTGGTCGTGCACATGCTGCCCGCCTCCGCCTCCGCCGCCGGGCTCATCAACCCCACCATGATCGCAATGCACACTGCCGACCAAACGCTCAAGCGCGTCCAACTCCTCCGCCTCATGCGCGGCGCCGTCATGCGCGTCCCACACCTGCGCGAGCGCGCCGCCGCGTGGTGGACCGAGGAGGCGCAGGAGGGCGAGTGGGTGCGCGAGGACGCGGACGTGCAGGAGCTCGCGCGCAAGCTCAAGGTTGGGTACGAGGAGAACGACGACGCCGCGAATCCGGGGCGCGTCAATGTGCGGAATAATGTGACGGCGCTCAAGACGGGATTCACGCCGAGCGAGTTTTGGAGGGTGTCTCCGACGTAGAGCAGTTTCTCTGCCTGTGTATTATAGAGTATATGCACTGCTAATCCTAAATGCCCAAAGATTGGTTTCACAGTATAATCGGATGCTGCCAGCGTGTCAGAACATAAACTGCCGTGTGTTAGATGTACTTGCTTGTAGACTGAATTTTTATGGACTTTTTTTATCTGAAATACCGAAATAGGCTGCGCCATCAGTACGCCTTGTTTACGGCTGCTTCCTACACTTTCTTCAGCTTCCCTCATTGTCCGCTTGCTGGAGCAAGAAAGGCCATATTTCGTCGGTTTACCTCGAACAAGGCGACTGTGAAGCCCACGAACGGATTTGGACTGGAACTGGCTTGGCAGAGGGTGCTCAAGGTACGGCAATCCCGCATCTTGGACTTGCTGTTCTATGCTTCGTGTATTCCTTTTCCTTCGACGCGTCGTACTATGCGCTCTTTGGGATGCATAAAACGCCCAACTGGACCCATGGTCTCGTCTCGATTGCCACGAAATAATCTGTGACGCGCAGTTAATTTTCGAAAACGTGTCTGTTTCATTTCATCTTGTGGAGTTCATTCTGGGTCACAGATAATGCACACTAACTCTCTATTGTACCATTAGGCCCTACTTAATCTCAGCAACCAACAAATATTTCGCAAGTAGGTGGAATTGCGGTCCGACCAACTTATCTCTCATTCTTGTGGCGCAGTTCATCTAGGTCTCTTGCACGTTCCTCTGGCATCCAATTCCATTCTAAACTGCTTAATTCAAGGCCCCGTCCATGGCAGAAGCAACCGCGACATTCAAGGACATCCCCGAACTTTTGAGGTCGACCTCGGAGAGTCACTTACCGCCCGCACAGAGAGCCTTTGTGAGAATGAATACCCGCACCGCAAAAGAACTGAGGCTGACGTGGCGCAGCGACATTCAGGGAACTCGGGCCACCAGACCTCTGCCATGTCGTGAAAAGCACCGGAAAGACGGGCCAGCGCGACCTCGGCTCATATCACTTTGTCTCTGGCGTCGACGCCTCATCCTCTGCGTCCCTCGCCGCGTACATCAACTCCCTCACCTACGCGATCGAAGGTTCCAACGCGTGGTTCTCCAACACCCCCCGTCTGGAAAGTGCGCAACGGGTGCTACTGCTGCTTCAATGCCTTCTCGCGCGTCGACTTTCGCGTCGACGTCAAGATCCCGGAGGGCGTGAATGCATATGTGGTGGATCTGCGTGGCGAGCGGTGCGTAGCGTTACGCCCTTATCAAGGAAAACTTGATCTAAATTACACGCAGACACGAAGCCACGGCGGATATGTGGCAAGAGACCTACGTCTCCGCCCTCCTGCGTGCGATCCTCTACTCGGACGACCCCACGCACTCCCTCGACGCGTACCGCAAACTCGACCCCATCACGTCCCCCGAGGGCGAGCTGCGATTCCTGGCCGCCGCAGAGGCGCTCTTCCTCAAAGGTACTTTTACTGGGTGCTCCAGAACCACATTACCCTCGCTCAACTGCAACATGCAGGCTGGCAAGTCGGCTCCGACCCCGAAATTCAGGTGGCGTCGGTGACGACCAACCACCTAACCGCTGGGCTGCTAAAGTACTTCGGCACCTCCGGACGCTACCAGCAGGCGGCGAACCTCTTCGAGAAGATCTCCGTGCGCGAGCCAGAGGTCAATTCTCTCCTCGCGCGCGCGTACCTCGGCATGCGTGCGTCCGCTTCTACCTTCTCTTCCATAAATTAATGTTGATTTGTTACGCACAGACGAGGAAGTAAAGGCACTGCAAATCATGTCTAACGCGCTGCGTACCGCACCGGGACCCGCGTCGTACACACTCCTGCATGCGCAATGCGACTTTTTACGGGAGAAGGGCCGTTCGGACTGGGCGCTCAAGCCGCGCGACAGGCGGTCAACGCGGCGCCGAGTGAGTTCGTGACGTGGGAGAAGCTCACGGAGGTGTACGTCGAGCTGGGGATGTTCGAGTCGGTGGGTCTTACCTCTGTTGCTTTGCTTCGCAGG